GCCCCACCCCTCAATCCTTGTCCCCAGCGTTCAGCTGGGGTTTTCCAAAGCCAACAGCTGTCAGGCCACCAGGAGAGTGAAGGTAAGAGGATGGGGAGAGGGCAGGGGAGTGGAAGCAGGGCCGAAAGTCGGGGGGCAGCAGGCAACCTGATCCTCACAGATTGCACTTTTGCAGACAGCAGGAGTATTTGCCCTGTAAGACATGGGTCAGAGGAGGAATTTAGGAGGGCAGGTCGCTTCCTGGCTACAGCAGGCCAGGAATGTGCCCTGGAATTCCTTACATGCCAGGCAACCCCCTCCCCAAATGGTCCCCAGCCTGCCTGGAAGAATCGAGAAACCAAGGGAGTCCATGTCTACCACTCCTGGGCATAGAGCAAGGCCTGTCCCAAGAGGGGGTGTTGGGGTGGGACGGGACAAGGGTTACACTTGGGGACCCGAGTTAAACCCTTTAATGCCAACCAGCTGGGCTCACGCCCAAGGAAAGATTCTCCCAGTGGGGCCTTTGCCCATCTGCCCTCCAAGGGCAGCCCAGCTCTGGGTCCTGTCTGGGAGGGAGTGGCCCTGAGTCAGGTGCATCCAGTGGAATTCTCGCGTCGGCCTGGAGAGGTGCTGCAGCGGGCCCTGCGCACCTGCCTGTCCTAGTGGGACAGTTTCTGAGTTCCTGGCCTTGAGAATATGACCAGGGGACTCACCTGACTGACAGGGCTGCGTCTCACTCTGCTCTCTGGGGCTCGGAAGGACCTGCCTGGAAAGGTATAGGTGCCCCTCGGCCTGGAACAAGCAATCTAGGGGAGTCCCTTTTGGTTAGAGCCCCATTGTATTTAGAGCAAGCAGAAGCTTAGCAAATACTTAGTCCACTCTACAGATGAGAAAACTGAGGTCTGGGGAGGGAAAGTGACTCATCCAGGAGTCCACAACGCTACATCTTCAGCGCAGGTCCTCCAACCCTGGTCTCCAGCGGCTACCATGGGATTCTCTGTCTCTCTCCGCTCTACTGCACTAATCTTGAGCCCAGTCCTGGCAACCCCTCCTCTGAAGTGTAGCCTCCACCAGGAGGGGCCATGGATGTCTGTGGACACAGGCAGACTCTGGGAAAGGATGCCAGGGCACAAGACCCTCACATCACCCCATCCATTCTCTGCTCGCCCCTTCCCCAGAGCTGTGCCCAAGGCTTACCTCAGAATAGCAGCTGCTGACAAATCCTGGAGGCGTCTGCTCAGCCTCGGCAGGGACTGGGTGAGGCAGGGGATGGAGAGGGCTTTAAGCAGGCATGTGGGCTGGGGCCTGGTGAGCCAGCCCTGCGAAGGGAGGAATGCGCGACGGGGGACGGGCGGGGCAGGGGGATGGCGGTGGGGGTGGGGGCTGTTGGCTGCTATTTTGGCAGGTGCCAGGGACAAGGCCACAGGAACATGTACCCCACGCCATATAAGCCCATGTGGTCCTCCAGCTGCTCAGATAAGCTATTTAAAACCAGAGCAGATATGCAGGGAGCAGGCATGCAACATAAACCAGCTGTCCCTCCTGAGAATCCTGATAAAGCAGAAGCCGGCAACCCACACCAGGGAGGGCCGGCGGGGAGCAAGGCTGGGGACAGACGGTAACCTCCAAGACACTCCGTACGTCTCTGCACCAGGGTCTTGGACGGCAGAGGGCAAGAGCTATGTGCTGCTCCACTTGAACAGATGCTGAGGGTAAAGACGTCCTCTGGGCTACTGGCTCCTAATGGGCTGAGCAGCCTTGGGCAGGTTGCTGGCTCTGCCAGCCTCAGTGAGGACATCTGCAAGGTGGGTCTCCTCCATGACCCCCAAACCACGTGGCACACCCTCCTCACAAGGAATGGGCTTAAACGCTACGGGAGGTCAGACACGAGGTAGAACTTCCAGTCAAGAACCTTGAACAGCCAGCTCATTGTGTGAGCATGATGGTGAGGACTGCCAAAGGTCATCCCCCATGGCTTTAAATCAACCAGTGCAGGACCATGATCTACCAACCCTATTAGACTGCAGACGCATAGGTCGGGCCAGGGGTATGCCCGCTTGCTTGCGTCCGACCATGCACGTGTATGTCCAGGGCTGGCCCACTGTGGGGGTCGGTAGATGATGAAAAACAGAGAGGAGGAAAGCAAGCCGGTGTGCAGCTGAGCTGACTCTCCCTCCATCTCTCTAAAGCTTCACAGCCTAGGTCTTGCCTGGCTCTGGACCAGGCCCTCCCCGCCCCCATGACCCCCCTGGCACTTCCACATCTTGCCCGTTCGTGATCCGCACCCCTCTGTTTCTCCATGAACAAAGAAAGCAATTCTGCCATTCTCTGCCATCTTGTCCATCACACAACCACGTGTCCCACCTTCCCAGTCCTCAAGCTCTTCTCTCAATCCCTCTCCCTCAGGAGCTACCATGCTGCCTCCACCACTAGCGACCTTGAAAAGGTCCTCTGCACAGGGCACTTCCATTTGCCCCACACCCATGCTGCTATCAGACCCCTGTCCCATCCCTCAGCTGACGCCATCCCCTCCACGGTTCCCTGTGGCCTCTGAGCCCATTGGCCTTGAATGCCCAGCTCAGGGCTTATCCCCTGCCACGTGGGCCTCCACACTGCCAGCAGACCCATGGCAGGGCAAGCTGAAGCCAACCACCTGCTGGCCAGCATCGTGAGACTGAGGAGGACCACAGGGAAGCAGGGAGACTTTGTAGAGACAGAGGCAGATGAAGGGACAGATTCCTGAGGGATGGTGAGGACGGAGCCAGACTATCCAGAGGAAAGTGAGGGGAGCCCCTCATCCCTCTGCCTCATCCTAGCCCATGAGCAGGGCCAGCCTTGCCTTGGGTTCTGGCCTGGAATAACATAGAATTTATCAACACTTTTCCCAAACCCTGTTTTAACTTGAGGGTGGGTTACTGCTCCTCGTAAGCCAAGTAACCCTTCCAACAGGCCACAGTTTATTTGCATGAATGCCTACAAGAGGGCTCTGTGCACCTACATCACTGCAGAGCCCCATGGGAAAAGCCCAGTAGATCCTTGATGTCATGGCCCTCACGTGTACGGCTTCTAATTGCTCTACGGCAGGAGCTCCATTCAGAGCGCTGAGACAGCCACTCAGACGAGGAAACCCACCCCCCCATGCAGCGACCACTCTTGGGCATAGCAGGGCTACTCCCAGCCCATTTGTTTCATATCCCTGTGCTTGCAAAGGGATGTAAAGAGAAAACACAGCCAGAGTGGAATGGGAGGAGGCTTATACTGAAATGATGCGTGTAAATCTGAGGCTCCACAACAGGACAGGCCACTTGTGGGGCCACAGGGCCCCTATGGCCAGCGAGCAGAAGGGTGGGGCCCGGAGCGGTGAGTGGGAACCCTGTTCCATCTCCAGAGGGTGCCCAATGTCACCCCTCTAGGCCTCCCACCTGCCCGACACCCAGTTGCTACCACTCACCTACCCCCAGCTGAGGTCATCTTGGGCACACCCTGGTCTCCTTGTTAACTGGCTGTGTCCCCAACAGGAACGAGGGTGGGGCCCTCACTTGTCGGATTCACAGGGGAGGGGGCAGTGCTGTGGTGCCCCGGGACATTTCCCCTAGCAGCCCGCCCTCACTGGGCACCGAAGGGAGGGGTGCAGGTATGAAGGGCCCTGCTGAGGCTGCAGCTGCAGGAGCAGGCTTACTCCAGGGTTAGGCCCCACTGCCGGGACAGGCTTCCAGGAGCCTCTCCTGACTCTGTGTGGGGACAGTTTTGCTTCCTGGGAAAGTTCACCTGTCAGGGGGACTTTACAAAGTTTAGGGCTGTCAGGCTCAGTGGCTCAGGCCTGTAATCCCAGCACTTTGGGAGGCCAAGGTAGGCGGATCACAAGGTCAAGAGTTCGATACCATCCTGGCCAACATTGTGAAACCCTATCTCTACTAAGAATACAAAAATTAGCAGGGCGTGGTGGCACGCACCTGTAGTCCCAGCTACTCAGGAGGCTGAGGCAGAAGAATCCCTTGAACCTGGTAGGCAGAGGTTGCAGTGAGCTGAGACCATGCCACTGCACTCCAAAAAAGTTCAGGGCATGAGCATGTGAAAGTCCTCTGAGGTCATCTGCTTGAGGCTGGGAGAAGGGGTTGGCTCAGGGTCGCACCTGAGGTCTGGGCAGAGCCAGAGCTGTTTAGACGTCCTGAGGCTCCGGGCAGGACTCACCTGCTCTCAGCTCTGCCCCAGCCTTGTCCTTCAACATCAGCTGTGAAGTTGGAACACTCACAAAGCTCTGGCCCCAGCAGTGGATGGGGGTGCTCGGGGCAGGGCTCCCAGGTCCCAATGTCCCTCACTCAGGCACAGGAGACTCACTGGCCAGAGGTGGGCCAGCCTGGGGCACTGGGACCTCTGCAGATGGGGCTTCGAAGCCCTGTCCCCTGGGACACAGATCAGAGGAACTCTCACTCATTGTCACAGAGTGGGGGTAGGGCTCACCTCCCACACACCTGGGGAACTGGACTAGTGATACCCTCAGGAGCCGTGTTAAGGGTCATGCTCTGAGAAGCTTCCCCAGGCACGCAAAAGGGAGGAGTGGGCAAGGGGCTCTGCACCTGGCCACACCCCGGCTGCTTCTGAGTAAAACTAAAGCGGTCAATCAAGACGGAGAGTTCTAATGATGAAAACTTTTGAGAATTTTTAAACTACAGCCTTAAGGGGTTAACGCGGCACCAGGCTGATGTTCCTAGCTTGGTTGGTTCTAGATTCTCTGATGGTTCATCATTCTCCAAGCTCACAGGGGCCATGATGTTAGGATCATGGGGGCGGGGGCTGGAGGGAGTCTGTGAGGAAAGGGTAGGCCTGGCCCTGTATGTGGCAGTTCCCCAGTCGCCAAGCTAGGATTGCGGAGAGGCAAGCCACCACCTTAATGTGAGAAGAGTGGGGACTAGGAAAATGATGATCCTCCACCCCAGCCAAAATAATCCTCACACACTTCAGATGATCTCCGCTAGAAAGCAAGGCCTCTAGAGAGGAAATCGCTTTTAAGGTTTCATCAGTCAATTGCACCTGAGAGTGAATGAGTTTATCAGATTCTTCCTGAGAATAGGTTTTTCAGAGAAAGGGTAAGTGGTTGCACACAAAAAGGCACTTAGCTCCTGGCCAGGGCAGCAGGCCAGGGAAGGGAGGGGAGAACAAAGCAGGGAGATGGGGCATGTGGCAGATGCACGGGCAGCTCCTTCCCAATCTGACCAGAGTGGGCCTCGGTGGCTGGGCACAGGTCCCAGGGACCAAGATGGGTGGGCCCAGGGCTCAGTGATGGAGACATCACAGACACTCAGAGGCACTTGCTGGGAGCCAACGAGACAGGTGACTCTGGAGTTCTTGAGGACACCCTGCCCCGACACTGGATGGGAGCAGGAAGGAGCAGATGCCTCTGGCCAGGACACAGGCCCCATAGTGCTGCTGTGCGCCTGTGCTGGGTCCCAGCATCTGCTGCGCCTGCAGTGAGGCGAGAAGATTCCAGCCCCAAGAGGCTGGGCCGGGAAGGAGCTGGCTGAGTCTTGCAAATATTCCCGACCCCAGAGGCTCTGCCCAAACAGATCCAGAGGGGAAAAGGGAACAGGGGCAACGAGAGGAGGCAGGGGTGCTGCTGAGAGAGGCAGGGCCAGGCACGAGGGAGACCCCTCGAGATGAAGACGTGCAGGTCTGTCTTTGCAGAGCTTGTCACACCTGTGGGGCAAAGGGCTGTGAGCACAAGGCAGGGGGGTGCTCAGGACAGAAGGGGAAGGGGGCCACTGGACAGGAAGGCATCCCTTTGCCCAAGCCCCACACCCACAATGGGTCAGAGCCCTGCAATCTGCCGGCTGGAGGGGCAGCAGCTCTGCAGAGGTACGGGCAGCGCAGCCAGCTGAGGGCTCGACCTAGTTCTCACGGTTGGCTCAGACCAGCCTGCATGCATAGGGATGGGGCATTCTGGGTGGACTGTGCGACCACAGGCCAATTAGCATGTGCACAGGGGGGTGATGGGGTCTCCCACGGTGCACTGTGGCCCTCCCCTGGAGAGCCAGGCCCCTCCCCACCATTCACCTCAGCGTCCAGCAAGGAGTCAGGTTTCTTTCCCCACTGAGTCCTCTTGGTAGTAGCCGACTCTTTCTGTGCCTCCTGATTGAGGGCATCAGAGTGGAGACCAGGTACTAAGGCCAGGCTCCGAGGGGCCCAGCATCCCCCAGGCCCCACATCTCCCAGGTCCAGCATCCCCCAGGCCCCACATCTCCCAGGCCCAGCATCCCCCAGGCCCCACATCTCCCAGGCCCAGCAACCCCCAGGCCCCACATCTCCCAGGCCCAGCATCCCCCAGGCCCCACATATCCCAGGCCCAGCATCCCGCAGGCCCCACATCTCCCAGGCCCAGCATCCCCCAGGCCCAGCCGCCATCCCAGGATATCCTTTCTCTTCCCAAAAGAGAAAAGGAACCCAGACCCACCCCTGCTCTCTGCTGAAGTCTGACCCACACGCCCATCCATCCCCCACTGTTTCCACTGCTGAAATGACTCAGTCTCTCTCGGCTGTCCCTCCTCTGTCCCCGATCATCCCACCACAAAGAATCCACAGTAAGAGACATCAGGAAGGGTGACGGCACCTGGGGGTCCTGATCTCCGGACTCCTGGGTCCTGCTGATCCACAGGTTGAGCCTTGATGTCACAACCCCTGAGAGCCTCAAATTCTCCTAAAAAGAGAACCTTCCATCTCAGGGTTTGGGGCCCTTGGCAGCAGCGAGGCACGTTCAGAGGCCCTGGAACGGGATAGGACTCTCCCTCACTCCCGTATGCATCCAGTGCATGCCACATATACCCGGGGCACCCCTCCCCTTCCCCCAGGAAGCTGTGTGCCCTGCTAAGGAGTTAGGCTCAGGAACGTGAATGGGAACTCAAGTGAAGGTTCTGCCAACATTAACTGACATACAAAAACAGAGTTTTCTAGCACTGCCACGGCCAAGACTCAGGTTTTAGAGACCTCAAGGCTAATCAGCCTAAGGACCCTATGGGATCTGAGCCCCTCACCTTCCGGCTGGAGGCTGGTTCCACTCGACTCTGACCCGCCAGTTCCTTCTCAAAGAGGTGGCGCTTGCTGGCTACACCCGCAGGGGCCACGAAGAACTCAGTGCGAGAGGAGCCCGGAGACTTGACGGATTCCGATCTCTGGGGACCAAGAACACCAACAGCTGACCCCTGCGGGGGGGCAAGAGCCACGCCCACTACTCCTCCTGCCCCGCTGCCCCTCGCAGAAGCCCCCACCCACCCGTATGGCCGTGTGATATCTCTCCAGCTTCTCTCCCAACTTCACTGTGCTGGCTGGGAGCTTCACGCTGGCGCTGCAGGATGAAAGAACAGGGGAGCCGAGTGAGACACCCAGGGAGACCAGGCCTGCCCCCGGGCCTGCGGAGCAGCCCCATCACACGTCCTCACTGTGGCAGAGAACGTGGCCCTCCATCACACAGCAGGCTGTGTTGACTTGACCAAGGTGAGAAATTTACAGACTCCAGGGATTTCCCTCCACTCCCAAGAAACTTCCCATTTCCTAGGACATCCCCAGGATGTCCCTCCTTCCTTTCTCCTCCACACCTTATCATTTCCCCCGCAAAACAACTCCTGAAACAGGCCCTTCCTTTCCACCTTCCCCATCACAGCAATCGCCACCTACCTGCTCTCCCGGCCAGCCACCATGAGCTCTCCACCAGGCTGCTCCTACCTCGGATCCTGTCCTTCCAGCTCAGACCCCGCAGGCCTTGGTACAGCACACTAGGCTCTAGTGATCTGGGCCCTCCTCTTCCCCCCAGCCCCACAGTATGCCAGTATGCCAGCCAGCTGGACACCACGCTCTTCACTCTGCCTTCTCACAAGCTGTTCCCTCTATTTAAAATGCTATCCCTCCAGTTTTATACTAGTTCAGGGAACATCAATGCTACTAGTTCCCTCAACATCATTCCTACTAGTTCAGGGAACATCAATTGCTCCATGACACCTTCCCCAGTTCTCACAGGCTGAGCAGGTGCAGCTACTCCTGAGCTCCTAGCCCTGGATTCACATTCCTGTGCCTCTGTCCCTCTCCACTTGGCCAGGGTGTAATGGTCTCACGTTTGAGAGAGCCGCTGTAGGTTCGCTGGGTGAGTATGAGTCACTTGAGGGCAGCAGCTGCGTCATTCCTCTTTGTACCCCTCCTCCTCTGTCCCCACCCCAGTCCCCAGGCCTAGCCTGAATGTTCGTGGGGCAGATGAATACAGCATGAGTGGATGACATTCCTAACACATAAGCACATCTGCTTCTCAGATCCTATTTCAGTTTTGCTATTTTTCAAAGCACAGTCCTCAGGCTACTCACATCAACATCACCAAGCCCAGGAATCCTTGTTAAACCTGCAGACCCGCAGCCCCCCACCAGGCCTGCTGAAGCAGGGGCTTCCCCTCCCTTACACTGTCCGTGGTCTCCCTCCCAGAAAGCCCCCTTTCCCTCTCCCAACCTCAAGGCTAAACCCTCCTCTCCCTTTGTAGCCCCACCCAAGCCCTGCCTCCTCCGAGCAGCTCTCCCTAATCCTTCCCCTCCTTGTTCCAGCTCATCCAGCCAGAGTCCCTCCTATTAATCCCATTCCCCGCCCAGATACGGAGCCCTGGGCAAGGACCACGCCTTCCCCTCATGTGCCCTACGGCACAGCCTGGCACAAGGAGGGTGGGTACAGGTACTCAGAAAACAGCCTGAACATGGCCAGAGAGGAAAAAACCAGAGCCTCCAGGCCTCCCACCTGCGAGTTAGAGTTGTTTCTGAGTCGTCTTTCCGGGGGTTCATCTGAAATAAGAAGGAAAGGTGTTGGTGTGTGGGAGTCCTGGGGAAATCGGTGGCCCCCTCGACTGAGGAGGCCGGCTCTCAGGACATGTCCTCTTCCTCCTCCCCCCGCTCCTCCTCCTCCTCAGATCTCCCACCCCTTCTACCAGGGGTCAACCCCCACCAAAGAAATATGTGGATAAACCTTCCTTAAAGAACAGCATTTGTATCTGAAGACACAGGTTCCCACCCACTAATCTGGGTCAGAAGCCTTTCCCCAGGCTTCCTTTTCAGGGCACCTGTAAGCACCTGTTTCCTATCTGCCTCCCACTGCCTGTGAGATCTGTGGGGGCACCAGTCACTATCAGGCCTCCAGCCTCCCCTCCAGGGCCTGGCACACACTAGAAGCATGATATCCAATGAATGAGTGAATGACCCAGTGAACAGAAGAACTAAGAACAAACACTGGGACAAAGCAAGCTGAGACTTCCCCAATCCACAGAGTTTGTACTATTGGGACAGTCAGAGCAGGGAGAGCCTTGCTGCTCTCCGTTCCTCCCCTCCCCTCCTGGGCAGGCCTCCTAGGTGAGGTCGGGAACAGATGAAGGCAGGTGTGGACCTCCCTGCAGCCCAGGACCAGCTCTGCCTGTCCAGCCTTTCTGCAGCCCTGGCTTTGCCCACTAGGTGGGGCTGCTCATGCTTATTGGCACCCACCTCCCAGGTCACTAACCTCCTCTGATGAATACAGCCTGGTCTGCTCCGGGCCACCCACGGAAATCCAAAGCTCCTCTCTATCCAGAGGACCTTCCTACCTAACCTAAGGCTCTTGTGTTGTAATGGATGCGGGCTTCCTCTGCTTGCCCTCCAGCGGCTCACAGACCGAGGTGCCCAGGGCTCTCACCCGAAAGGAGATGGTCCTGGAGCTGGAGCGTTTGAGGGAGCTGCTGTAGGTTCGCTGGGTGGGTGAGGACATGTCTGCCTCTTCCTCCTTGCTGGGGATTTTCACCTGGAAGGAGCAGGGGGAGTGTCACACAAGAGGTCTAGGGCCCACTAGGCCCCGGCAGCCATAGACCCCATGGCTCACCCCAGGAGCTGCAGAAAGAAGCAGAGAGTGAGACAGCCCTGTGCCTTCTTCTCTCCTGCCTCCTTCATCTGCTGTGGCAGTGGCTTGCTGACACACTCCCTTGGGGCCAGGGCACCAGGCAGAGATTTCTAGGGGAGCTTCTAAAAGGATCTGAGGCTTCCCACGAGTCTGCTGGGATCCTGTAGCCCAGGCCCTGGACGAGGATGTGGTAGGAAGCACCAGGGGCTCCCTGCCCCACAGCTGGTGACCCTTTAAGCTCCAGCAGCCTGCCCGTCTTAGTGTCCTTGCTCTGACCATGGCTGGAAGCAGGCAGGGAGAGAAGAGACAGCCAAGGCCAGCCTGCAGGTGGGAGGATACAGGCAGCCAGGGAACCAGGAACCACCTGGGTGGGACCGGCCAGCTGGGCCAGTCAGGTGGCAGGGTGGAAGGGTGGGAGGGATGGAACACTGCCAACCTGGAGTGTGATGGGTGGGAGGCGGGAGGCCACCGTCGGAGGGTCCGAAGCCCCCTGCTCTGCCAAGGAGGGCAGGTTCTTCCTAGGGAGGGTCCTTCCTCTCTGCTCCTTGGTGGTGGCTGGGCTTCTGCCAGAGCCTGGAGGTTCCTGCGCCAGGGGCTGCTCTGAGGCTGTGGCCCTCTTTGGGGCCAGCTTGGCGTCTGTGGTTGGGCTCTTCTCTGAGGCCAGTGTCTTCTCGAAGATAGATGCTTTCTCAGACACTTGCCGTCTTCCTGAGCCCAGTGCCATCCCTGGGGCCAGTGACTTCTCGGAGACACTGTTTTTTTCTAGATCAGACTTCTCTGAGCTGTTTCTTTTCTCTGACACTGCTGTCTTCTCCGATAGGGATGTCTTCTCTGAGGCCAGGCCCTTCTCGGAGATAGAGGTTTTCTCAGAGACCAGGCTCTTTTTGGGTGCTATCTTTTCTGGTGTGGAGGATTCCTTCAAGACTGGGGACTTCTCTGGAACCCCTTTCTTCCTCCCTCCTGGCTCCCTGCCCATCAAGCTCTCCTCCTCCAGGGCCCAGGGGCCCCGCTGTTCACGACTCAGTCTCCGGCGAGGTGGGGTCTCCGGTTCCTTCCTGGGGACCAGGGGTTGCTGTGTGGCCTGCCCAGGGCTGAAGCTGTCCCTCCCCTTGTCTGCCTCCAGCCTTTCCAGGATGGGGGCCTGTGCAGCCTCCACTGCCTGCCGCCTCTGCCTCCGCTCCTGCCGCGTTCTGAGGATGGTCTGGATGTCCTCGTCCTCATCTTTGGAGGCTGGGGGCAGTGGCTCGGGCACCTCTGCTTCTTCCACACTCGGCAGTCTGAGTCAGAAGATGAGAGACAGAATCAGAGGATAGAGGTGGAAAGGATCCTGGGTCTCCCTAACCCAGAGGAGATGCTGCTAGGGCCACCGAGGAGGAGGTGAGGAAGTCAGGTCTTGGCTGTCCCAGCTCACCACCACCTGTATCCACTCGATATACTGCACTTCCAAGGTATCAGCTGAACAAAGCACTCTATGCTTTTAAAAGCTTATACATTCCTATGAAGCCCAGCTGCTCCATGTTCAGACATAGTCAACAGACTGAATAATGACTTTAATGTGTGCAGAGTCTGCGTGGGGCATGGGGTCAAAAGGAATAAGCGCAGTCACTGCCCTTAGATCTTAGATCAAGACTAGGGATGTGCAGGGGTGTGGCCAAGGCCATGCAACTAATTGGTGGGGGAACTGGGAGCAGACATTCTGGACATTCTCCAGACTGGACATTGTCCAGACTCTGGACATTCTCCAGAGTCTGCTGCGGGGCAAGGCTAGGGGAAGGGAGGAGAGGACAGGGTCAGCACAGCCTTGCTCTCCCTTCTCAGGGGACCCGAAGAAACTAAAGTAACATAAGAGGATTGTCCAAAACCCACAGCATCTGGCCTCCAGCACAAGGAGATTCTTTTCCTTCCTCACCACCCTGCTCTCCATGTGATTTCAGGCGAGTTAACTTACTCTCTGAGCCTCAGTTTTCAAATCTGCTAATTGGGCTTGTTAGAAAGCAAAATGAGACTCATGAGAGTGCCCAGCACAGTCCTGGCATGTCAGTGACATTCAGTAAACCTAGGCTCTTCCCTGCCTCATAATCCCAAAATCTAGATGGCAAAACTAGCCCCAGAGTTCTCCTCAGGAGTAAATTATAGGCCCGGCACAGTGGCACACGCCTGAAATCTCAGCACTTCCAGAGGCCGAGGCAGGTTGGATCACCTGAGGTCAGGAGTTCGAGACCAGCCTGGCCAACACAGTGAAACCCCATCTCTGCTAAAAATACAAAAATTAGCTGGGTGTGGTGGCAGGTACCAGTAATCCCAGCTATTTGGGAGGCTGAGGCAGGAGCATTGCTTGAACCTGGGAGGCGGAGGTTGCAGTAAGCTGACTGCATTCCAGCCTGGGTGACAGAGCAAGACTCCATCTCAGAAAAAAAAAAAAAAAAGTGAACTATAGAGGGTCAGGGCTAGAGGCAGGCAGCCTGGATAAAGGAAAGAGGCGGGAGCTTAACAGATCTGGAAGGAAACTCTGGCCCTGCCACTCTTGAGGTACATGATCTCAGCAAGTCACCTGAGCACTCTTCAACCCTGCTTCTCCACCTGTGAAATGGGTTAACAATACCTCTCTCTCAGGGATATTGTGAGCATTACGTAAGCTATGGCCATAAAACGTCCAGCACAGCACTGGCTCATGGAAGCTCTCAACAAACGGTAGCCAGCTTGTCATGAAGACGGTGGAGACTGGCAGGACTGAGTCTGGGGTGGCGGGGAACTTGGAGTTCGTCTTCACACCCTTCAGCCTCGTGTCCTGGGCCACCGAGCCCTGGGAAGACTGAACATGCTGCACTTAGTCTGAGGCAGCCGGTCCATCCCCATCGCTCAGGATAGAAACCTGAGCACCTACCTCTCAGAAGCAGAGGCCCGCCGGTCTCCGTTTTGGCTGAGCCTGGGAGCCTCATCCTGCGTCGTGGAGCTCAGGTTGCGGTGCCGCCGCCTGCGCTCGCGCTCCTGCTCCTCCTCATCCTCCAGAGTCCGCTGCCGGGCAAGGCTAGGGGAGGGGAGGAGAGAGTCAGCACTGCCGGGAAACCCTGGGCCCTTCCGAGGCAGGCTCCTGTGGGGCTGGAAGAAGAGACCAAATGCCCTCCAGGCCTGCACTGGCTACAGGCAGGTTGGAAGCGCTTGAACCATGGCTGGTGTGAACCGAGGCGTGCCGTGTGAAACACACGCTGGATCTTGAAGACCAGTGAAAGCTCTCATTAAGAGCTCTGTACATTGGCCAGGCATGGAGGCGCATGCCTGTAATCCTAGCATTTTAGGAGGCCAAGACAGACAGATTGCCTGAGCTCAGGAGTTCAAGACCAACCTGAGCAACACGGCAAAACCCCATCTCTACTAAAAACACAAAAAATAAAAAATTACTGGGGTGTGGTGGCGTGCACCTGTAGTCCCAGCTACGGGGTAGGTCAAGGCATGGGAATCACTTGAACCCAGGAGGCAGAGGTTGCAGTGAGCCGAGATTGTGTCACTGCACTCTAGCCTGGGTGACACAGTGAGACTCTTTCAAAAAGAAAAAAAGAAAGAAAAAAATGTGTACATTGATTATATGTTGAAATGGTAATATTATTGATATATTGGGGTAAATGAGCTAGAGTATTAAAATTACTTTTGTTACTTTCCTGGTTTTTTATTTCTTTTCTTTTTCTTTTTTTTAGACGGAGTTTTGCCCTGTCGCCCAGGCTGGAGTGCAGTGGCGCAATCTCGGCTCACTGCAACCTCGCCTCCCGGGTTCAAGCAATTCTCCTGCCTCACTCCCCCGAGTAGCTGGGATTACAGAGGTGCACCACCACACTTGGCTAATTTTTGTGTTTTTATTAGCAACGGGGTTTCGCCATGTTGGCCAGGCTGGTCAGGAACTCCTGACCTCAAGTCATCCACCTGCCTCCCTTCCAAAATGCTGGGATTACAGACATGAGCTGCTGCGCCCGGCCTTTTTTTTTTTTTTTTTNAATAAACAGAAAAATATGAATTCCAGAATTTTATGGCTAAGACTTTAGAGATCATTTAACCTAATCTCATCCAGGTTTTGTTTGTTTGTTTGTTTTTTTTTTGAAACAGGATCTCCCTCTGTTGCCCAGACTGGAGTGCAGTGGCACAAAAACAGCTCACTACAGCTGCAACCTCCCGGGCTCAAGTGATCCTCTCACCTCAGCCTCTCAAGTAGCTGGGACTACAGGCGTGCATCACTACACCTGGTTAATTTTTAAATTTTTTGTAGAAATGAGGTCTCACAATGTTGCTCAGGCTGGTCCTAGACTCCTGGGCTCAAGCGATCTTCCCACCTCACTCAGCCTTCCGAAGTGCTGGGATTACAGGCACAAGCCACTGCGCTGGGCTGCTTTTTACTTTTGTAATGTGACTACTCGAAAACTTAACATTTTAGGCTGGGTGTGGTGGCTCACCCCTGTCATCCCAGTACTTTGAAAGGCTGAGGAGGTGGATCACCTGAGATCAGGACACAGTGAAGCCCTATCTCTACTAAAAACACAGACAGCAATTACTGTGGTGGCACATGCCTGTAATCCCAGCTACTAGGGAGGCTGAGGCAGGAGAATCGCTTGAACCTGGGAGTCGGAAGTTGTAGTGAGCTAAGTGCCATTGCACTCCATCCTGGGCAACAAGACTGAAACTCCGTCTCAAAAAAAAACTTAACATTTTAAATGTAGTTCAAATTATACATCTATTAAATTCCCAGTAAAGCTGCAGGGTTTTGGATTAGACCCGGGTTTCTCCCGCTCAGCACCGTTGACACTTTGGCCAGACAGTTCTGTGTCTGGGGTTGTCCTGGATCACAGGATGTCTGGCGCATCCCCAGCCTCTACCTGCTGGGTGCCAGTAGTACATTCCCCAGCTGGGACACCCAAAATGTTTCCCGACATTGCCAAATGTCCCCTGGGGGCCAAAGTCACCCCAGATAGGAACCACTGGGATGGACTGTATGGTGGACCCCAGGATGGGAATGGGGGGCCTCCTTCCCTGGGGGTGACCAGGAATGTGGAAGGGCAGGTCGGGTCCTGCCTGAAGGAAACAGATGTACTTGCCGAGTGCCTTTCTCTTTTTGGCCCTGGGATTCTTAGGTAATAACCCTCAGTACAATCATGGAGATATTTCCTCAGTTACTCAATTCCCCATGGATTTTCTTAGCTTTTGGGAAGGGAAGACTCACACCTGGAAAAAGCTCTAATGTCACCTTCCCTTCACTTCCCAGGGATTTGTGGAGCCTCCCTCACCTTTCAGATGGAAAAATCTTCATGGAAAGAGTTGAGCCACGGAGCTCCACAGATCTGGATGGAAATCCAGACAACTTTCACTTGTCTGGGGAGCAAGGGGACCCCATATCCTACTTTTGGTTCTTGCCCCAGTCGCTCTTCATTCATGGGGCCAACCAGGCATTCTACAGCCAGCCAGCCAACCCCACCAGTCTATCCATCTACCGCTTGCTCACACACCCATGTACTCAGCCAACCATCTGTTTCCACCATCTTTATCCACCTGCCCTGCCATCCACCCACCACCTCACACCAGCCCATCTTCCATCCACCCCGCCCCTTCCAATCCAACCAAAGAGCAAATGAAAGTTGAGTGACTGTGACAGGCCAGCACCATGCTAGGAACTGTGTGGGGGTCACAGAACATGGCAGGGTCTCTGCCCTGGAGATACTGACAATCTAGTGAAAAAGAGAAGTAGTGTGTCCACCAATAACTCCCCCACCAAAGTGCAGAAGCTGTTCTGCAGAGTGAGAGAACAAATGCTATAGGCCGGGATGATCAGAAAAGGTTCACGGAAGAGAGGAAGCTGGGCTGCATCTCGGGGAACACACGGGCTTTCAACGGGGCGGCTGGCAGTCCAGGCAGAGGGAAGGTATTGAGCAACTGAGGTTCAGGTTTTGCTGGGAGTGGGAGGCTGAGCTTCACTGGGAGACAGGAGAGGGTGTGCACAGGGCAGTACCAGGCTGTGAAAGTCAGCCGGGGAAGCCCTTCCTAGCACCTCCTTGTGGCTCCCCCTGCATTGTCTGCGAATCAGGTTAGAAGGTTCTAGAAAAGGCCTCTGTCTTTCCTCCCAGAGTTACAGCAGTGACTGCAAGGCCTCCCCTTGCCACTGCCAGATGCCAAACTCTCTGGTCTTTGTTCCCCAGCCTCTCCTGCTGCCCAGCCCTAGTTCCCACTGAGCCTCTCTCCTCCTGGAGGACCTAAACAATTCCTCAGGGAGTCTTTGGTAAGGCAGGGTCAGGTGGTCTGTTTTCAAGTCTTTTTGCCCTCAGGTAAGTCACTTCCATATCTCTTTGTCAGTTTTCCCTCGTAAAATGAGAAGGATGAACCACATGACCACTCTGAGTTTTTTCTAGGTCCCGCATCCCCTGGATGGAGCCAGTATTCACTAAAGAATTACTTTTGAGCACCTACTGTGTGCCAGGCATGATTCCATGGGCTGGAAACAGCGGGAAATGAGACCAATAGGGCCTTTCCCTTCACGGAGCACACATCCAGCATGGGGGGAGTCAGACTGTGAGCAAGGAAAGCAGCCCATGAACAAAATGGCACCAGCAAAGTGTCACTAGACAAGGGCACAAAGCGAGTGACATGAGAGAAGGTGGCCGGGTGGGGAAGCCCCCTTGGAGAGACGTGGTTCATGAGGAGGAGGCAGCAGGGCGAGATCTGGCAGCCAGTGTTCCAGAAGGAGGATCCAGCCAGAGCAGAGACCACATGTGAGGAGCTGGCTATTCAGGGGAAGATGGGAAGCCGGGGCTGCAGTGGCCCACGGAAAAGCTGGACAGGGAGGTGAGGCCAGCGCAGAGGGCCTTGGAGACCATGGAGAGGACTTAGGTTTGGCTCCAGGTGTGCTGCAGAGTGGTACACAGAGAAGCGACATGATAGGATCGCTCTGTTTTTAATCTCCCTGGTTGCTGTATGAAAAAAAATTGACAGGGCCAGGGGAGAGGAGAAACAGGGGACCCGTCAGAAGGCACCTGCAGTTATGCAGGCAAGAACTAGAACTATGGTGGCTTGAACTGGGGTGGTGACAGAAAACACGGGGAAAAGGTGATAGATTCAGGAAAAGGTCTGAAGATAATAGCCACAAGGGTTTGCTGTTGGATGCTGGGTGGGAGGAGGGAGAGGAAAAGAGAAGAATCAAGAACTGCTAGATTTTGGGCCTGAGCTATTCCTGGAGCTGCCATTAGTAAGATGGGGAAGACCAGGGGAGGAAGGAGTGTGGTGGGCTGTTGGGTGGTAGCAGGGAGGGACAAGAGGGAGATGAAGAGCTGTGCTTCTGGCTTATTCGGAAGGAGAAGAAACCAGTGAAAAGCAAAGATCAAGATGCTGCAGCCAGGAAGCTGGAAGGAAACTAGAGGAAGGTGTTGGCATGAGCAGGGGAGTGAGGGCCCAGTCAGATGCTGCTGCAAGGGAGACGAGACCAGGACGGAATCGTTGAGCACAGAGGCGCCAGGTGCCACAGGAAAAGCAATGCCAGGGTGTGCCAGAGCCTGAGCAGGCTGGCAAGGGTAAATGGAAACCAGTAAATGGAATTAGTGAGCAGCAACAACTCTTTTGAGAAGCAAATAGAATGGGACAGTAGTGACCGGGTGCAGCGGCTGACACCTGTAATCTCAGCACTCTGGGAGGCCGAGGCAGGTGGATCACATGAGGTCAGGAGTTTGAGACCAGCCTGGCCAACATGGGGAAACCCAGTCTCTACTAAAAATA